TGGGCCAGTGTTGAAAGCGCCGTATCGTATGGCGCCGAAGGAGCTTCAGGAGTTGAAGGCTCAGATTCAGGAGTTGTTGGGTCTCGGCTTTATCCGGCCGAGCGTTTCACCTTGGGGAGCACCTGTCCTCTTTGTGAAGAAGAAGGACGGGACACTGCGCATGTGCATCAATTACCGAGACTTGAACCGGGTTGACAGTGAAGAACAAGTATCCACTCCCCAGGATAGAGGACTTATTCGACCAGCTGAGTGGTGCCCGTGTGTTTTCCCGGATAGATCTTCGTTCGGGTTACTATCAGCTGAGGATTCGGGAGTCTGACGTGGCGAAGACCGCGTTTCGTACCTGATACGGTCACTATGAGTTTTTCGTGATGCCGTTCGGCTTGACCAATGCGCCGGCGGTATTCATGGATCTCATGAACCGTGTCTTTCACCCATTCTTATACCAGTTTGTCATCGTCTTCATAGATGATATTTTGGTCTACTCGAGGAGCGCAGCCCAGCACGAGGAGCATTTGAGGATCGTGTTGGAGACTCTTAGTTGGGAGAGACTGTACGCCAAGTTCTCGAAGTGCGAGTTTTGGGTCGATCGAGTGGCATTCTTCGGTCATATTGTTACGGCCGAGGGCATAGAGGTCGATCCCAGGAAGATCGAGGCAGTGAAGAACTGGTCAGCACCAAAGTCTGTTACCGAGATACGGAGTTTTCTCGGGTTAGCAGGCTACTATAGGAGGTTCATTGAGGGGTTTTCGAAGATAGCCCTGCCCTTGTCACGTTTGACGAGGAAGTCGGTGAGGTTCGAGTGGAGTAGCCGTTGTGAGTCGAGCTTTTAGGAGCTCAAGAGGAGGTTAACTACGGCGCCCGTGCTGACTATTACAGACCCTACACGGAGTTGCACTATCTATAGTGATGCTTCGAAGCAGGGACTTGGGTGCATGCTGATGCAGGAGGGCAAGGTTGTCGCATACGCTTCGCGACAGCTGAAGCCCCACGAGGAGAACTACCCGACTCATGACCTTAAGTTGGCAGCCATTGTTCACGCACTCAAGATTTGGAGGCATTATTTGTATGGTGGTCGGTGTGAGATCTACACCGATCACAAGAGTCTGCAGTACATCTTCACGCAGAAGGAGCTCAACATGCGCCAGAGGCGATGGTTGGAGCTAGTGAAGGATTATGATTGCACCATTCAGTACCATCCGGGGAAGGCGAACGTAGTAGCCGATGCCCTTAGCCGAAAGGCGAGGGGCGAATTGACTTGCATGATCACCCAGCAGAGTTAGCTTGTAACACCCCGCTATTTACTGAAAATTCAGAGTGCGCTTTTTCGCAAATTTGCTAAATAAATAAAATATTTATTTGCAAAAACTGATTCGGAGTGTTACCGTAAAATCTAACTTTTATTTGAAAACCGTTAATTTTTAATCTGATAATAATAAAAATGGTTATAAAATATGTTAACCGACTAACGTCGGGTCAAAAACTGGTTTAGAGTACTGAAAACTTGTAATACCCCGTTTTATTGTGGATTATTTGGGAGTAATTATTGATTATTGTCATTATTAAATTGTCTTTCTTTATTATTATTATCATATTTATTATTATTAAAATTTCTATTAACTGTCAAATTGCTATTATTTATTTGTTATTAGTAATATTGGTATTATTAATATTAATTGTCTAGATATTATTATTTGTCAAATTGTAATTATTTGTCTAAATGCATATTTTTATTATTAATATTATTTTAAAAATATTGTGTGTATTATAAATATAAATATTCCGTATTGATTTATTATTCGTCGTCAAGAGAATTGTTCGATGTTAGTCCTCGGATATGGGTCTCGTCTCAATTGGAATTTTATTCCAACACCTTTTACTATGTTCCTAATGGACCTAATGTCTAATTTTGTTGTAGCCCAAATAAGTGGCCCATTGACAACAAATCTTTTTTTTTCTTTCTTTTGGCCCAAAAGATCATAAATTTTGCAGAGCCCTTTTCAATTCACCTCCCTTGCGATGGCAGACCGAGTCCTCTTCACTCTCAGCAAGATCGAATTTCTGTTCCTATTCTTTGGTTAATCCTCAGTGCACGTTCTCCCTCTTTCTCTCGCACGATCGCTCCTCATTCTTTATTTAAGCCGTGCGACTCGATCAGTACTCTCAAAATCCCTCATCTCCTTCGGCCTATCCCTTTCACTTTCCTACAATTAGGCATCTTCGATTCTTCCCTCAACGGCCATCGCGAGCAGCAATCGAGGAGCCAATTTGGAAGTCCGCGTGAACACCAGGAAGCCAATTGAGAAATCAACGCCGTCGCGTGCCTCTGTTCGCGTGAACAACCGCAGTCGTCCGCCTATCGATCACCAAGCAGCGTCCTGCCGTCGCCGACGCCCTTCCCAGCGATTGACCGTCGTCGTCGATTCCATAGTAGCAACTATTCGTGAGCTGCATCGCCTTCAAAGGTCTCGAGCTTTGAGGCTTTCGATCGCCTCGTCTGTTTTCTGAATTCTCGCAAATTCCTGAAGTCGGGTAATTTATTTCGAACCTCCGTCGACTATCCCTGCATATTTTGATAACCTGTTGATTTTATATTGCTAGTTGAATTGTTGTTTTTGGCTTTCGTTGTGTTCGTCGGATAATGATTGTGAAGTTGTCGTGGATTTTCGGAACTCTCGACTTAGTCTATCGAGTCTGTTTTTAATTGCTGCAAATTAATGGTAGATTCAGAGTCTCGTTAAATTCTTCCGAGTTGTTATATATTCATCGCTCGTATATGCAAGATTGTCTTGGCCAGTTACGTGTTGCTCGGACCCGGTTCTTATAACTTTTCGAAATTCTATATGTGTATGAGACATCAAATTGTACAAAGTCTTGAATCTGTTGTTTGGCAAATTCATTTTAAGTTTCAGAGTTCCATTTTTATTGATTGGAGCCGTGTCGTAGTCGTGATGTCGTTTGATTGTTTCGAACCAATAGGTGTCGTTTCTTATTCTGAATAAACCCCGTTTTTGAAAGGTTTTCGAACTCTGGAAGGGTCATTATGTTGGGTAAAAATTTTGTGAAATTTTGCTGTTGAACTTGCAGCCTGAAAATTGTGTTTTAATCTGCTATTTGGCCTCTCAGTTCGCAGTTTTTATTTTGGTTCAGTAGCAGGTTTGTTCAAAAATTTATGTTGTTAAGTCTGTAAGTTAAATCGCAAATAGAGCGCGTAGCGCAGTGGTCATGAGCGTTGATTCCGTGCGCGAGGTCGCGGGTTCTATTCCCAGCGCTTGTGAAAAGTAGCTATTTTTTTAAAAATAGAGCAGCCAGCGAGCGGGCTTTCTGGCCCAAACTTCGGCCCGCGCGTGGCCCGTCATTGGATCAGCAGTCTGGCCCGCGAGCCCAATTTTCTGTGTAGCAGGCCTATGCGGCTCTTGGCTTGTCTAATTGGCGGCCCAAGTTCGCGTATGGGCCCATTTCAGTGCCAGTAGA